ACACACCTTGAGCCAACGGCCGTACCCAAGTACTGAATATACCGGTTCTCGTTAGATCACCGAAGTTAAGCATCATTGGGCGCGGTCAGTACTTGGTGGGTGACCACCTGGGAACACAGCGTGCAAATTTGGGACCTGAATGGCCGAGTGTCTAGCGCTCTGGCGCTCGGTGCCACAGGTTTCGGGTTCGAATCCCGGCGGTGCCATGGATGTTTGTAGTGGTTCGGAATCCACTTTAAGCCGTAGGTCCCGGTCTTCTATGACTGTAAGAGCGTCACGGAGCAAAAGTCAGGCTTCTACCTACGGGTGCTCCATCACAACAGAAGCTGCTTCCTTCCCCTTCAATCATGAGTCCATATGGGCTCGTGGCTTGGCCAGCCAAGTGGGATAAGAAACAACAAAAAACAACATATTTACACCCATTTTAACATAATTAATAAAATCATCACTTTAAGTGAAAATAATTGCTATCGTAGCAATATTATTGCAAAATTATTACATTTGTTTCTTATTTCACTTATATTTATATCATGGGCCTGATTGGCCGAGTGGCTTAGGCTCTGGCGCTCGGTACCACAGGTTTCCGGTTCGAGTCCCGGTGGTGCCATGAATGTTTGTAATTGTTCGGAATCCACTTTAAACCGTAGGTCCGGTTTTATATGATCGTAAATCATTGCGGGGGCATTGTTACTCCGTGTACGTGGCTTATCTTCAAGTTACACGCGCCCCCTGGGTAATGCAAAGTGAGTAACGTCTGTGCAGCGCTTGCCTTAAGGCATCCAAGATCAAGCTGTCTAAATATTTGCCAGCTGCATTAGAAAGAAAAAATATATTTATTTCATTTTACACGCTTATTTTAAATATTTCCACAAGTTTGTGAAATATCGTGCAGCAATGAAAAAGTGCTATACATAAAAAAATTTCTTTTATCACTGTATTTTACATATTACAATTTAAAAAGAACTTATTTAGTGCAAATTATTTTATTAGATAGTATGACGTTTTTTCCTTATGTCACGCTGAACACTTTTTGAAGTATGTAACAGTTGGGCTGACACATAGATGGCGCTACTGGTATTAAATCCACAAGACTTTTAGTTAGCCCTAAACTTCAAAAGATACGTGTATAAATTTGACAGCTGTTGCACTACTAGTATGTGAGTTATAGCATTTTTAGTGAAGCAACTTTTGTTAGTTTGAAAAAAATGGATAAAAAGGAATTTCGTGTGTTAATACAGCATTTCTTTTCGGCGAAAAAAAATACCATTGAAGCCAAGGCTTGGCTTGATAAACATTATTCGGACTTTGCAACAGGAAAATCGACTGTAGAGAAGTGGTTTGCTAAATTTAAACGAGGCGAAATGAGCACCGAGGACGATGCACGCAGTGGACGCCCGAAAGAGGGTGTTACCGATGAAAACATCAAAAAGTCCACAAAATAATTTCTTATAATCGTAAAGTGAAGTTGATTGAGATAGCTGAGAGCCTAAAGATATCAAAGGAACGTGTTGGACATATCGTGAATGAATATTTGGATATGTGAAAGCTCTGTTTAAAGTTGGTGCCGCGCAGAGCTCACAATCGACCCAAAACAACATCGAATTGATGATTCTAAGCAGTGTTTGGAGCTGTTCAATCGTAATAAACCTAAATTTTTGCGTCGATATGTGACAATGGATGAAACATGACTCCATCATTTCACACCGGAGTCCAATCAATAGTCAGCCGAGTGGACTGCACGTGATGAACACTAAAAATGCTATAACTCACATACTAATACTGCAATGGCTGTCAAATTTATACACGTGCCTTTTGAATGTTAGGGCTAACTAAAATTCATATGGATTTATTACTAGTAGCACCATCTATGTGTAGCCTACGAACACGACAGCCCCTGTTAAGAACTCAAATTGGCAGGCCTTCATATTATATAACCCTATCATTTAGAAAAAAAAATTGCATATCCTAGTTAAAGTGCCAAAACTAACGTTGTAGACTCTGGTAATACTGCCGAAACACTTAATTTATTATTATATTATTTATCAGTCTAATAAAATCAAATATTTTTACTTATTATCACTTTATGTTGTGTGCTGTTTGTTGTTGTTGTTGTTTGTTTGTTGTTTCTTATCCCACTTGGCTGGCCAAGCCCACGAGCCCATATGGACTCATGATTGAAGGGGAAGGAAGCAGCTTCTGTTGTGATGGAGCACCCGTAGGTAGAAGCCTAACTTTTGCTCCGTGACGCTCTTACAGTCATGGAAGACCGGGACCTACGGCTTAAAGTGGATTCCGAACCACTACAAACATCCATGGCACTGCCGGGATTCGAACCCGAAACCTGTGGCACCGAGCGCCAGAGCGCTAGACACTCGGCCATTCAGGTCCCAAATTTGCCAACGGCACGCGGTGTTCCCAGGTGGTCACCCACCCAAGTACTGACCGCGCCCAAAGATGCTTGACTTCGGTGATCTAACGAGAACCGGTATATTCAGCATGGTACCGTTGCTGTAACAAGTAGATAGGAAATTAAAGCTTATTTGATATTTAAAAAGTATTAGGCTATTTTGTATCTAAACTTACATATTTTTGCAATTAGAAACTATTTATTTGCTATAGAAAAGGTATGCCTTGTAGCAAGGATTAAAATAAACAAATCCAAATTATGTTATTTTCCTCATCATACAGATTTTTAGAGTGGTGTACAAAACTTAGTATATGGTATAATTTTTCACAGGCATATATGTAATTGTAGGAAAGACGTTTCATGGACATTGAAATGAACAACTGGTTTTAAAGAAAATGTATTTTTATGAAAATATCAGAAACAAGATGTCTCATGAAAGAAAGACAATTAAAACGCTTATAGTCAGTGCACGCATTGAGGTCTACAATAAAAAAAAAAAAGATGAAAGACACTATTGTTAATATACCGACATAGAAATGGGGCCGTTGGTCTACGTATACTCGTAGGACGGCCAAATGAATTAACATTAATAAAAAGCAATTAAAATAAATACTAGGACAAACAACTAATTTACTTTTACCCTTTAATGAATACGAATAAATACTATTACAATAAAATTTAGGATTTTTAATATTTGGCAGAATAAATAAAATAAAAAAAGTTTTATAGAGAATGTTTATAGAGAAATGTTTACAGAGAAATGTTTACAGAGAAGTATTCATAATATTTCGCACGCATACCTCAATCGAAAATATTCCTTTGAGTGTGTGGGCAGTGGGGTACCAGTAGCCTCATATCCTTTTTACCAAAAAAAAAAATGCTCACCGACAATTCCAAAGATGGACATAACTCTCCATTACAAATTATCCCTGGAGCCATTCTCGCAGCAAAAATTGCGCACCAGGCTCACGCACTATCGTAGATCGTTCGCTGTGCTTTCAACGGGTCTTCCTTTCTGCCCGCAAAAACTCCAAAAAAGGGATGGATCCCACCAAACCGACCGGTTCTTTTGGACCTGACCGTGTTACCGGGATGGGTTATCTACCATTCCTGGATTCATACAAAAAATAAAGGAAATACCCCTTACCCTCACACAACAGGATAATTACCAGTTACAACAACTATTATAGACATTCTCATTAGATATGTTGTTGTTGTTTTAATAAAAGAAACTGTCTGGATGTTTTTGCGTGGTTACCACGTTTGCGAAGAGGCATTATATTGTAAACGTAGCAACTGCGAATCTGATTCAATTGTAAGCAAGAATTTTTTATATTTTATTACTTAATTAAGACGTGGGAGTCGATTTAAAGTAGCGAGTTGTTACGAATTTTGTATTGAGATTTTAATCAGAAAGATAGAATAGACTAAAATAAAATTTTGTTTTATAATAAAATTTTTATTATAAATAAAATTAGAATTTATTTTATAATATATAAATAATAATAAAATAAAATGTATTTTATGATATATAAATAATAATAGAATAAAATTTATTTTATAAAAAAATTTTACCTGAAATAAAATAAAAAAAATTTATTTTATAACAGATAAAAAATAATATAATAAAATAGAATTTATTTTGTAATAAAGTAAATTTTATCTTATAATAAAAATATAATAAAAGTTATTTTATTTTAAATATAAATAAAATTAATATTAACAATATAAATATAATTAATTATTATAAATAAAAATTAAATATATTTCATAATCAATTAAATTGTATTTTATAAAAAATAAAATAAAATTTTATAATAAATAAAATTAGCTGAATAATAAACTGAAGTTACTTGAAGAAGGGGAAAAGGGTATGACATCAAAAAAAGTTCCACCGATTTTTCCCATCCAATTTGGTATGACTTTGCCGTGGTGGATGGGCTTTCTACTAACAGTGTCACAACTGTTGATTGACGTGTAAGCCATTTTTTCCGTCAAAAAAACCCCAGCAATCTAGCACATAGAAAATTACAGTTGGTTTAATGTACAACTGAAGCCAAACACGTTGTAATTTCGATTTAAAATATCAGTAGCAGCCGAATACACTTTCTTTATGCCGCTTACAGCGCCATCTAATAATACTCGTTGGAATGTTTTTTTGATGCCGTACCATTTCCCCCTTCCTCAATTTTCCCCTTTTTCGTATATTAAGTTCAAATTTGAACTCATTGTGACAAGTTGTTCTTTTTTTTTTACATTATTTTGAATGTGGCACTTTAATTATAATCACCCTGCATTGCAGATACAATGTTATCTTGAGTACATTTCCCTCTAATTATATAACAATTTATATGACAATTATTAAATAGGCATCTTCCATGAATGACATTTATGTGCCTCTATCTCTTTTTTTCTCCTTCTCAAAGTCAACTGACGGACTTTTCAGTTTACGGATTTATCGTGTATATTTCAGCATTAAATAAGGCTCTGGCGCACGGAACCACAGGTATCAGGTTCGAATCCCAGCGGAGCCATAGATTTTTGTAGTAGTTCGAAATCCACTTTAAGCCGTAAGGTCCCGGTCTCCCATGATCGTAGTGCTGACAGAGCCCCATCAGACTTCTTCTCAACCACATCATTCCGAAACTGTAAAGGAGCAACTCAGCTCTAGGCACAGTGATGTGGTGTAGTGTAGTAGTAGTATTGAATATGGAGGCTGTCGTTGGGACCCTATGTCGAATTAGACTTCTCTAGTTCAGAAACCTTTTGCGATACTTAGAAATAAATAAAGCACATAAAAAAACTTTTTTTTCTCAAGAGTAAAAAAACGAAACAATCAAATAATAAAGAAATCATTGCAGAAAAATCCTTTTTTTTTTATCATTCTAGAATCGTAATCATTAAACATTCAGTTGTTGTTTCTTATCCCACTTGGTAGACAGCAACATCTAGACCAAGTTCAAGGACCTCTTGTGGTCTCATGGAAAGACGGAAAGGGGGTGTGGGGGGGGGCAGCTTCTGTTGCGATGGAGCACATGTAGGTAGAAATCTGATTTAGCTCCATGAGGCTGACTTTTTTACGGGGTAGGGTTGCCAGCCCTACGCTCTACAGTCATACTAGATTAGGCCTAGGTCTTAAAGTGGAATCCGAACGTTTACAATTATCCATGTTATTGGCGGGACTCAAACGAGAAAACTTGGGTATTGAGCGCTATAGTGCTAGTCACTCGGTCATCAGGCCCCATTTAATTAACACTCTAATTTATTAAATGTTTTTGCTTAAATGGAATTCATTATTTAAATAAATTCACTCTTGGCATAATCAACAAGCGAGTTGGATTTCCGTTTGTGGTGTGCATTGCAGTCATCGTGATAAATGAATAGTAGAATTGACGAATTCGTTTTAGATGCTGATTATTTGAAATCATCGTTTGCTGTCCTGATATACTGATATGGGCCTTGAATGGTACAGTGTCTAGCACTCTAGTGCTCGGTACCACCGGTATCTGGTTCGAATGCCGGAGGTGCCATAGATGTTTGTGATGGTTCAGAATCCTCTTTAAGGTCCCGGTCACATATGACTGTAGAGAATCACCCAAGACCGGAGCCCAATCAGACTTCTCATCCACATCATTCCCTAACTGTATAATGGCAACTCTGCTCTAGACACTGTGATGTGGTGTGATGTAGTAGCAGTAGTAGTATTAAATATGTGGGCGGCCTAAGGGCCGAGTGGCTAGTGCTCTGGCTCTTGGTATTACAGGTTTCGGGTTCGAGTTCCTGAGATGCCATGGATGATTGCAGTGGTTCAGAATCCACTTTCAGTCGTATGTCCCGGTCTCATATGAATGTAGAGCTTCACAGAGCCCAATCACACTTCTTCTCACCCACATCATTCCCAAACTGTTAAGGAGTAATTCTCTAGTAGTACCATTAGAGAGTACTATTAGAACAGATTCTCTAGTACAATTAGAACAGAAAGCAGTACGTGCAATTTATTTATTACAAAATAGTTCTCGGAAATATTGAGTTATCTATTACCTCAAAGTACACACAATAATTTTCTCAGATCTACCTGTAATAAATTACCATCCTAGATTGGCTTATAAATCTAGTATCATTCAAAACCACCTGCTTTTGTGTTAGCTCAGTTACAGTCGCAGAGATTCTTCTCTTTCGATTATCTCACTTCTAAATCAACAGAATTGAATGCACCATGAAAATTAACTAAAAATAATTATATAATTCCAAAGGATTTTATAGAAAAACACGTGAAAGAAATTTAAATAAGATTAGCTCGTGAAAGAATTAAAAAAATATATAATAAAACAATAAGAAAAGTTGAAAGTGGTCAAAGAAACGGAAAACTGATCAAGGACACTCTGTTCAAAATAATGCCCATAATTTTATCAGTAAAAACATGGTTGGAGTAAATCACTAGAATCCCATATGCTTAAATATTCTAGAGAGCAAAATAATATGAATTGTTATTATAAAGTTGCAAAATGGTATGAACGGTATGAATTGTTATTACAAAATGGTATGAATTGTATTTACTGTGGGTATAATGCATAATTTGCATAATGTTAGCTCTTAATAATAAAACATTTTTCCTATACCTTCTTAATTTATATACCTAAATTTAGGATAAATCTGAATTGTTAAAAATATATTTTCAATAAAAATTTATTTTTTCAATTATTTTTTTTTTATCATTTTGTCCCGTAAAAATTGTGAAAATAGAAAAATGTCAATGACATATTTTTGCAGTAAATATCAGGTATATAAGCAATGCTATCAAAACCTTTATCGAGAAAAATTTACTCACAATTTTATTTGTTGTTCTAGTTTTTTTAAGGTTAAAAAGTAAAATTTCAAACAGAAAGCAGTACGTTGTAAATTGTTTATTACAAAATAGTTTTTGGAAATATTGACTTATCTATTACCTCAAAATACACACAATAATTTTCCAAGATCTACCCGTAATAAATTACCATCCGAAATTGGCTTATAAATCTAGTATCATTCAAAACCACCTGCTTTTGTGTTAGCTCAGTTACAGTCGCAGAGATTCTTCTCTTTCGATTATCTCACTTCTGAAC